CCCTTCTCTCCTCCTCCTCCCCACCCAATCAAACAGCATGGAGCATGAAGCAATCAGCCGGGCGATGCCCGAATCATTCGATCAAAGGATTAGATGGAATGATTAGATCGAAGGCCTGTCAAGAGGCAATGCAGATACAGTTTGTCAAATCGAAATGCGCATGCATGGCTTGTAATACTGTACCTTCCGTCGGACAGGACGGCCAACTCTGAATGACTTCAAGGATCTCTATGCAAAAATGTAGACAGGTTTGACTGAGTTCACATTTGACGCTGAACTGGGTCAACCACAGCCCCTGAGTTGGGTTCACCAAGTCAACCCTTGAACTGGGTCAAGCAAGTTAATGCATGAACTGGGTCAACGACGTCAACCCCTCATCTGGGTCACCCCCCTGAACAGGGTCAGGTTGGTCACCCAAGTCAACCCCTTAACTGGGTCAACCAGCTCAGCCCTCTTAAGTGGGGTCTACCCCTGAACCGGGTCACCCAGGTCAACCCCTAACCTAGCTAACCCCCAAATTGGGTCAACCAAGTCAACCTCTGATCTGGGCCACCCTAGCTAACCCCTGATCAGGATCAACCAAGTCAACCCTTGAACAGGCCCACCAAAGTCAACCCTTAAACTGGGTCAACAAAACCATGGTACGTGGAAGACAGCTACCGCGACAAAGTTGACGAACTGAAGCTCGAGCAATGCCAGGATGGTCTCTACAAGACTGCCACAACCTGGACTTCAAAAAAAAAAAAAAAACACGATGGCTATACAACTAAAAATCACGGCAACCGCGGACCCGGACCCGGACATGTCTGGACCCAGGCCCAGACATATTTGTCTGGACCTGTCCAGACGTCCGGTAATCCAGACAGGAATCGGACAACCGGACAGGACAGGACCGGACCCAGACCGTCCGGTCCGGTACACCAGACACAAAAAATGTCCGGTCCAAACAGTACTAAACACAAATGAAGTCAGTTTAATGAACACAATCAATGGCAGTTGTGAGTTAGGGGACCAAACTTACTTAGTACCTACCGTCTTTCACTATTCACAACTTGACAAAGGCTTCATACTATTGGTCGCGAGTTATGATCCCAGGCCAGTCCGGAACCGAATGTTTCCACGGAGCCACCCTAGGCAATGTCTTACCTAAGCCAACTCTAGACCAGTCCGGGCGCCTATTGGGATGATGTTACAGTTGGTATGAGTGCCACTCTCGGCCAGTCCGGAACCGAATGTTTCCACGGAGCCACCATAGGCAGTGTCTTGCCTAAGCCAACTCTAGACCGGACTGTGTGCCATTCCAGGCTAGCCCGGAACCAAATGTTTCCACGGAGTCACCCTAGGCACTGTCAGAGTACCTATGCCAACTCTAGACCAGCCAGAGTACCTATCGGGATTATTTCATGGTTGGATTATATGGTCCAGGCTAGTAGAGAACCGAATGTTTCCACGGAGCCACCGTAGGCAGTGTCAGTACCTGAGCCAACTCAAGACTAGCCTGTGTGCCACTCCAGACTAGTCCGGAACCCAATGTTTGTTTCCTCGGAGCCACCCCAGGCAGTGTCTTGCCTAAGCGAACTCTAGACCAGCCTGTGTACCTATCAGATATAGACATGATGAATGGGCATAGCATGGAGTCGAGCCCAGAACCTCCAGGTTACAACGTTAGAGCTCTACTAGCTGCTCTACCCACCGAGCTATTGAGGTTATTAGTCTGTAAAGGCGCTATGCCAGGCTCGGGACAAGTACGTGTGGTGCAACCTACACCAACAAATTGTGCTCGGGGAAATTGTGGGCTGACAAAGTCGAACCCGCAACAGAGCTATTGAGGTTATTAGTCTGTAAAGGCGCTATGCCAGGCTCGGGACAAGTACGTGCGGTGCAACCTACACCAACCAATTGTGCTCAGGGAAATTGTGGTCTGACAAAGTCGAACCCGCAACCCCCCCGTTGCAACACCGGAACTCTGCACACTGAGCTACCACGCACTTGCTTACCCACTGGCCGTCTCGAAGGTACCACGCCAAGCATGCCACATTGCCACAAGCACTATCGTGGGGGCAATGGGAGTTGAACCGACGACCTCCTGAGTGTCGCTTGAGCGCCTTACCAACTGAGCTACACCCAGCGGGAACCTCTTCTAAGTGACTCTGCTTTGGGGACATTTTCCTCTCGACCACAGTCTTCCCCAGAACACAGCGCCGCCTCGTCATGACCGTATCTGACCGGAGAGATGGCTTGTATACATTCATGATCGGCCTGGGTTGTGTTCGGGACAAGAACGTAGTAGTACGTTCCGAGTTCATGGTACCCGAACTGTTACATTCAGAAGATGGCCTTTGTTGTGTTCAAGCCAAGACCGGAGTACTACTTTCAGCTGAACAAATGGTATCCGGCGACTATCCTCTGCATATGAATTTTCTTGTTTGTTTTTTAGAACTACTCCTAAACAGGTCAGGTCTTGAAATCCAATACAACGCAAAAAGTGTAAGAAGATGACCCTGCTTTTAAGGCACGGGGGAGAGTGGGTCAATGGGTTGGAGCAATCAGGGAGTAGATGATATCAGCATGAACACAGAAGGAAAAGCCCAGCTGGAAGAACAAGCGCAGCAGATGGCAGGGGCCACAGGGCACAAGTGGTTAACAGGGTCCAGCCCTCTTCAGACCATAAGCTTTTTTTTTTTTTTTTTTTTTTTTCGAAGACGAAGAAGAAGAAGAAACGATCCATCATAAGCTAACTCCCCAATCACTGAAAATGTAGGCCGCTGTTAATCGCCCCTCAGGTGGGGACAGGGAAGGGGTGTATAAATAAACTTCCTGTAAAGAGAAGGTCCAAGACGAACTGGAGCCTCTGCAAAGTGTAGGAGGCAGTGTGTGTATCTTGCAGTCGGTAAAGGCTCTTGTTCTTGTTCTTTTTCTTTTTTCTTTTTTTTTTTAATTTAAAGGCTTTGTTAACTGGACCCTCTGCCGAGTGTAGAAGGATGTGTCAAGTCCAACGAGCGAACGGCGGAGCGGGGTCGCTGCTCCCAAGTGCCATCTAGATAAGGGAGTTCTGGCTCGTGGCAGCGTTGCTACGGTCTTCCCCCGAATACAACGTACGGTCATTATAGCTGAATTTAGACTGAAAGATACACCAAATTCAGCTATAATGACCTTGCATTGTATTCGGGGGAAGACTGTAGCATCCATCCAAGAAAAAACTTTGAAAAGCTAAAAGAGGGTGAAAAGAGGAAAGAGGACAAAAACCTCCGAGCCTTACAGGGGAGAAGGGAGGAAGAAAAGAAAAGCAGGATGAAGTAGGAGACGAAAGATGAGGAGAAGGAAGAGGAGAAAGAGGAGGCAAAACTTGACAAGAAAGAGGAGGAACGAGGAGACGATGGAAGAGGGAGAAGGAGAGAGAGGAGGAGGAGGAGGAGGTGGTGGGAGAAGTAGTGGGAGAAGTAGGAGGAAGAGGAGGAGAAGGTGGGAGTTGTAGGAGAAGCAGCAACAGCAAGAGGAGGAGGAGGAGGAGGAGGAGGAGAGAAGTAGTGGAGAAGTAGGAGGAAGAGGAGGAGAAGGTGGGAGTAGTAGGAGAAGCAGGAGGAGGAGGAGGAGGAGGAGGAGGTGGAGGAGGAGACTTACCTGGCCCCAAACGCTGCAGTGTAGCGCATACACAACTCGCCTGGATGCTCGACGAACCCACACTGCCCAAAGTTCTGCACTCGTAGCGTTGTCTTCGACCCGACCCACTTCTCGTATCCCTTGGTCGGTGCATCATTGAAGCGTATGACTGCAGTGTGTGAATCAATTTCCCGTCCATATGCTCTTCCCCGTCCTTGGCTATTGATGATACTTGCCGCGCTTCCAACGACAGCACACGTCTCAAAGTCGGCATTCTCCACAAGCTCTCTACCTCCTCGCCTCGCCAGGTACGAATCCCCCGGTCTCAGTCTATGGTCAACCAGGCACTGTCTCATCCTCTCTCCATTCATTGGCACCACACACCCAGGCTTTATACTGTGAGAAGGTTCCGTACACTGGTCATTTCCAGAGAACAACACAGGGCAAACACACTGCGAGTGGATGCAATATCTACCAGGGCTGCAATCGCTCTTTCGGAGACATGAAACAGGACCTTGGGGATTGGCAACATGAACCACACCTTCTTCTTTCTTCTCCATCTCCTTATCTTTCCCTTCCTCCTCGTTTGTCTGCTCGTTCTGCTTCCCCCCTTCTACCTGTTGCTCCCCATTTACCTTCTCCTCCCACCCCTCCTCCCCACCTTCTTCCACCGCAACTTGTCCTCCTTGGTCTGTGGCAGGCAGCTGCTGTGACGGGTCCTCGGATCTCACCAATGGTGAGTTCAGATCCGAACCCATTGCGCTCATTTGCAGCTGACCTTGCAGCCCGTCCTCTCTTTGACGGCCCTCGAGAGGTCCTACTTCCAACATAACGCGAGAGACCTCCTCACCACCCTCATCTGATTGGCTAGTTGCTGTTCCTTGTCCTCCTTCAGTTGAACTGGTACCTCCCCCCTGGCCGGAATCTCGGGCCACCACTCTTCCGTCCAACCACACAGGGTCCAATGGAAATCCCGGTGGGGCTTCCTCCTCCGCCGTCGTCGTTTTCGTCACACTGGCACTTCCTGGTTCTTCCTCTTCCCCCTCTCGGTGCTTCCTAACGCTCTCAAGAAACGCGGACACAATGTCCTTGTCGAACTGAAAGCCCTCTGCGCCATGGCGTACGCGCTCCCATGCCATGACATTCCTGGCATCCTCTCCAACTTCTGCTGCTGCTCGAGTGCCCCTCTCCCCCTCCGATTCAACTGTACCTCTTTTTTCCCCTCCCCGCGACCCCCCCTGTTCACCCAAGTCTACTTCATTTCTCCCTTCTCTCAACTCCGATATCTCTTCCAAATGAGCAGTGCTACCACCAGTTCCGTCCATGTCACCCATCACCACAGCACTACCCATATTCGCTTCTCCATTCACGGCTGTTGCTGCAGTCGGCTTCATTCTCTTTAGTACGTCATCCTCCAACTGTGCACCATTCTCTGTCTCATCAGCTACACGATCGCCGGGATCGAGACCACGGTCGGCACCCGAATCGGAATTGGGATCGGCACCCGGATCTGCAGCCTCGAATACACCGCTAACATCAGCAGCGGTGCCTTCAGAGTTAGCGGCAGCAGTAGCGCTTACAGCGTCAGCAGCAGGAGTGGAACCAGCAGTAGTGGGTGATCCCATAGGTTGTTCGGTACCTCTTCCGGTAGACGTAAGAGTAGGGTCTAACTTATCTCCCCCTGAGTCCTCGGGCCCTGAGTCTCTGGATTCTGTCTCGGGTTGAGTAGTAAGACTCTCTCCTCCGCCGGTTGCTTGCGACTCATGATCGACTGCCTCTCCGGACTCTTCCTCTGTTCGAATCGGACGAGGATGTGCGTCGGGATCCGGATCTCGCTCCCAGATCCTTTTGTGGAAATTGATGAACTCGTTCATCAAGCTCCCAATCCCAATCCCGTCTTCGCCTCCTCCCCCCAGAAGTGACATCGGAAGGAGGTCCAGACCTGCAACCTTGTCACCGTGGTCTAGGTTTTCTAGCGTTTCTCTCGCCATCCCGCCCGCGGAACGACCTGCGGAAGCAGTCGTCGTCATCATCATCTGTTCGGGAACCGAACCTCCGATCTTGATTGGCTGTAGGTTGGTGTCATCGCTCTGCAGTTGTGCTTGGTCGTCGCTAGGTGACAGCCCCGAACCTTCCCGATTCGACCCCCAAGGGTCCTCGTGCTTCGTACTACTACTACTACTACTACTACTTCTAACCCCAACCGCCATCGTATCCACAGCTGATGATTTCGTGCTACCGGAGTCTTGGTAGGTTTTCAAGCCTGTGAACGACGACAGCATATGTTGCAGCGGCCTCGAACTTCTCCAGACATGGCCTGATATACTTAAGCCAACAAACAAAGCAACGACCGTGACTAGAACCCACAATTGCTTCCTTCCGGTGCCGCAGCAGTTGGTAAACCCCCATGTCTCGCTTCGGTAGGTTGTCACGGTGTAAATGGCCCCTGTTCGAGTCCTCCTTGTCATCCGTATCCCCCTCTGTTCCATCCTCCTGTCTTCATGACCCTTCATCCGGTCCGGTTGCCCCCATGGCTTAGCGGGTGTGGAGAAGAATAGGCAAGGAAGGCCATACCCTTAGACTTGGCCTCGGCACGCAGCGAAAGTCGGATGGCGCCATGAACACTGACAGACCTCACAGGTCGTCAACGAAAAGAACGCTATGCAAGGGTAAGCTTGGCTACCCTGGGGTTCACCCGAATAGAACGCCCGGTCATTATAGCTGTATGTAGTAGGGGCAATTTTTGTACTTTTTTTTTTTTTTTTAACACCCAAAAACACACACAGCCCGGTCTATTCTGTGGGGCCCCAGTCCGGTTGCTTAATAACACCGGCAAGCATAGTTATGTCTCGTAAAAAGGATCACATGGGGGAATAAGAAGTGTCAAGTGTGAACGACCGGGAGAATCCCCTTGGTACCCAGACATCGCCCGCTTCCCCGCAACCCCTCACTCCCCCCCCTCTGGGCCCCTCATATCCCAGTGAGCCCGATCTCACCCCCCACCCCCATCTTCAACTATAATAAGGTACCCTTATGTCTCCGTGTCCTTCTTCCTTTCCTCAAACTGCTCCTTTGTTTGTCCACTAGATTCCAAGGTAATGACCAGGCGTTCTATTCGGGTGAAGATGATAGCCCTTACCCTTTGGTCCATCCTCCCCCATTCTAATGCCTCTTTCAATCATCTCTCTCTCTCTCTCTCTCTCTCTCTCTCTCTCTCTCTCTCTCTCTCTCTCTCACACACACACAAACACAC